CGAGCCTCACACACAAGGTCACTGTGACCCTCGCAAGCAGCTCTCAGAGGAAGGACCTCAGGCATGGTTGACTTTACATTGAAATCACCTCTGAGTCTTTCTCCCTCCCATCACTAGAAGGAACTGGTCCAGACAGCCTGGTCTTGGAGAGTTTAAATGTTTTATGCTACTAGAAAAAAAAATTACTTTGAGAATAATAATAATGATGCAGTTGTGTTTCTAACTATAATCCTTTGTTGATACTATAAATTTAAGTTCCCCATATGGAAACAAAAAAGGAAAAATAAATGACAATAACAAAAGCTCCTAAATTCAGAATGATAGCATATCCAAGAAAATTTTCCTTTGGGTGGAGCTGTTTTATTTCAAACATATTATGAAATAGTGGCCAACCAGGCCAAGTATGTGCCACCACACCTGTAATCCCAGCTGAGGCAGGAGGATCACCACAAGTTCGAGACTAGCCTGGGCTACAGAGTGAGTTCAAGGCCAGCCTAGACTCATAGCAAGACCCTGTTTCAAAATGATGAGAGAGAGAGAGAGAGAGAGAGAGAGAGAGAGAGAGAGAGAGAGAAATAGAGAAATAAAGAGACAGAGAGACGTAGTGAACACCTGATACTTCATTTCAATAAGACTCAGGACAAAACCCCATACATATCTGCTTAGAAAAGATGGCACTGGGAGCTACACAAATCAGTAGATAAGAATTTTAAATCACAAAATTTTCTACTATTTTTAAATAGACTTACTGGGCTTTGGTGATAGCTCAGAGGTCTAAGCACCTGCCTGGCAAGGACGAAGACCCAGTTTTGATCCCTGGTACCACATGCTATATCAGCCCTGGGCACTAAACCAGCCACTCAAATTGGGCATGGTGGTGCATGCTTGTAATCCCAGCACTGGGCAGGCTGAGACAGGAGGATCACTATAGGTCCAAGCTGCACAGCGAGATACTGTACCAAATAAATAAATAGATTAAAAAATAAATAGACCTACTAATTAAGTGTTTCTTGGCAGGCCAAGATAATTTGGGCTAAATTTAAAACTTTAAGGGAGTATGGATTACAGATTATCCACAGTGAGATGAAAAACTATAATTTTTAAATTATACTGTACATGTTGTCTCCCATGCTTATTTAAGAACCTAATTAAAAAGTCTCCTATTTGGAATTTCTGAAATCTAGACTGGGTCAGGAATAACATCTGACCCAGAATATTACTGTTGACGTGGTTGTGTTTTTTGATGTAGTTTGGTTTTTGTTCTTTCAGTTTATAGTTTTGTCACTTTTGTCAGTGCTTATGTGCATGGTGTAAAGACCATGAAAAATGCATAAACAGACAAACCCAGTGGACAAAATTTTAAATGAAAACAAAGTTAAAAAAAA